AAAGTGAGAAATCATCCCCCAGGGGCGGAGGTAACCACACCATAATCTTGTCTCCTCCATTCTTTTCCTGGGATCTTGGGCACACACACAACACACATGCCCATCATGATTTTCAAGCCACCAGGTCCAGGACTTGAACCGCCACTGGCCAAGTGGGAGTCCAGTGCCTTCACCACTATGCCACCTGCTGGCCCCTACATCTGGGTTCTTAAGACACAGGCTTTGTGAGTTCTTTAAGTTCTGAAATCACATGTAATACGAAAGGCAAAAAAACCCAATATGCTTTCTGAAATCCTAGAATGAGGTTTGGGTACTAAGGGTGAAGATTTGTTTTACCTGTTAGAAGTTGGTTTTATACCGATGGTTTGGAAAATGACAGGAAGGGATCTCTGCTTTGAGGCATCACACCACCATTCTACCTCGTGTTGTGCAGTGTCCTTCTATGTGATGCATTGAGGGTTCAGGGTGTGCCCGTTGGAGCCTACTTTGTTTACAAACTCTATTTTTAAAGTCAGGGTGTCTTGGAAGATAAGTGTTGTATTTGTGTTTCGATGGCAACATCGTAGCAGGCTGGAACATCTGCCACAGGAACACAGTCCCGGTGACACCTCCATAGGTATTCTTGTTAAGGATCGATTCTTTGTAGCTTGGGCAGATAAGCCTGTGTAACAAGGAAAGGGCTGGCCCACACTCTTGTGCTTCCGTATAGGGAGTTCTTACTCTTTGTGAACATACTGGTCTGTTCTCCGGGTATAAAAATACTATTTTGTAGGAAGCTACATCTAAGAAACAAGAAACAGAAACCCCGTATTCAATTTTTGACATGGTGCCAGAAAAGCACACTGTATCAGCATTTCATAGTTCCACATTTTCCACATCATATATTTTTTTTCTTAGCCGTGAAATTTCGGCAGATTGTTATGCAAAACAGTTTTGTGTCTCTGTGTGACTGGGAAGACAGCTGTTATTCCTAATGAGGAGTGCTAGCATTACAGTATTTCCATGGATTGAGACCCACGGAGGGAGCAGAATGTTCCAGATCAGGCAGTGGTGTGCACTGAGAAGGTACCATGCTGTCAGCTGGAAGTGGATGCTCCGCTGCTCCCATGACAAGATAAATGAGTTTTGCTGGAGTTTGGCAGAGTCTGAGGCTTTTCCAGTGAGCGGCTGTAGCTCAGCAGCCTCCCCGTGGGACCCATGGTCCAAGGGTGCTTTTAAAACTACTGCCTCTTTGCCAGTTTATTTTCTTTTGATGTCCTATAATACCTGTCAAGATTGTGATATATTAAAAACCTAATGTCTTTTAGCATTTCATTAACATAGGGCGAGATGATCTTTTGTTGAGGCCTCTTCTGCTCCTCCCCCAATTAATTTAGCAGGATGTTAGCTGAGATTTAACTTGGCTGAAATCTTCTGAAGATTACAGCCCACAGAGAAGTCAGTGGTCATCCCTACCTTCCATTTCAGAAGGCTGTACTATAGTTAGAGCTCTGTAAGCCTTATTGCCTTATTGTTGCATTTTTATTTAAGGAATAGCAGTGTCTAATTTACAGCTTTTATGTTCTTTTTTTTTTTAGAGGTTTTTGCTATAGGGCACGTGCGCTTGCAAGGCAGAGAGACAGAAAGCGAGAAATCACCCCCCCGACCCGGGGGGGATGGCCACCCTGCAATCCCTTCTCCTCCATTCTCCTCTTGGGATCTTGGGCAGGCACGCACACATGCCCAGTGTGAGTTTAAGCCACCAGGTCCAGGACGCGAACTGCGGTCGACCACGTGGGAGTCCAGCGACATAGCCATTACGCTAACTGCTGGTCCCTGGCTTTTATGTTCTTTATACTTTCAGGAAGTGTACACTTGATCTTAGCCAAAAGGCCAGGAAGTGTAAAGAACTCAGGTGGTCACTGGGCTGATATTACAAATTTGTCCTCTTTGCCCATTTCCCATTTGTCATACATGGCTGTGTGCAAGATTGTGTCTGCTTATATTATGTCCCTCTGTTATGTAGTGTGGTGGTTGCCAGCGTGGCTTTGCCTTCCAGGAGACATTGTTGGTGTCACCTGGGGAAGGGGCATGGGATAGCATCTGTTGAGCAGACACAGGGAGCCTTGCATATCCTACAGGACACAGGATGGCCCTACCACAGAGAGGGAACCTGCTGAGCTGTGGAATTAACACCAGTGTGCGTACTATAGAGAGTGTGCTGAGGCATACTGTCTAAAAAGGCAAGTAATGGACCATGTGAAAGTATCGTGTCCATCATACTATTTCCGATTGTGCTCTGGAGCCTCCGTGTTTGTGTCAGAGTTCCTTATCGGCATTGCGGAAACTTCTTGATTCTTGGCAGCTTTTTATTTATAAAAATCTTGTATTAGTGCAGTGGAGCTCAGATTTAATTAGAGGTTCACGTGAGCCTATTTAAATTAAGAGGATTTTCATAAATAGGATGTAGTGACTGAGTAGTACTCGTTAAGAGGGATTTACATTCTGCAGTTAGTAAAAGAAATACCCGAGACCCGGTAATTGAAGAAAACAGGTTTATTAAGCTCCTGAGTGGGAGGCCCAGGGTCTAAGGCTGCATCTGGTGGGAGTTTTCTCGTTGCATCACAGCGTGGCAGAGGGCAGGAGCTTGAACAGAGCAGGGAATATCCCTGCCTATTCCCTCTCCTTATAAACCAACCAAGATTCAGTCATTGGGTCCTGTCCTGAAGCCTAATCACCCCAAATGCCACCTCTTAGCACCACGGTCAGATTAAGTCTCTACGCTGTCAGTACCAGTACAGTGGTGCGTCAAATTTTAACACATGAATTTTGGGAGACACGTTAAAACCATAGCATGGAGTCTAAGAGAATGTGAAATTGCATCTCATAGTACAGCCTCAGTGACAGGAACAACTGGCATTTAAATGGGAATTGCTAAGTTCCAACAATTGCTGGGTCCAATCCCAGTTAGGGTGGATATAGATAGAGGGAACATAAAAACCAAACTTTTGCTTACTTAAATTATGATGGCCACCTTATCTCATTGATAGATAGAAATGTACATGGGCATCCTCTTGTTGTGTGGTTTCAGCGGCTTCAGTGAGTGCTAGGACACAGCGTGAGTAAACCTAGTTTTTGTCGCCGATTGGTAGGACAGTTAGGGTGAGGCCTTTGTCTCTCTGCAAGACTACTGTCCTGGCATCTTTGGATCTCCTGACTCTGGCCAGAAATCAAGTGATGTCTTCCTGAGTGGGCCATGGTTGGGGAGGCTTGTTATTAACACATTGGCTGAGTGGGCACTTGGCCCCTTGTGGCTCAGGAAGTGTGACCATACTCATTTTAGGGTGCTCTCTCTTTCTCTCTCTGAGGAGTATGCATACCCTGGGGGAGGAGAAGTGGAAAAATTTATTGTTATCTTGGATTATATAAACAGCTTCTGGGACACTGGTTTTGATCTTCTGTTTTTCTTCTCAAATTCTTTTTCTAAAAATGCATTTATTTGTATATCTTTTTATTTATTTGTGAGAGGGCATGTGTGCTTGCCAGTGAGAAATGGAAGGAAAAAGTGGGAAAGACTCCCTATCCATGCCATACAGCTCCTTTGGGAATAGTCATGCCCAAATTCCTTCTCTTCCATTTCTCCTTTTTGGGATTTTTAAACACACATATACATGCCCAGCATGTTTTCTCAAGCCAGTGAAGTCGGACTATGGGTTCAGCCATATGGGATCCAGCCACATTAACTACCATGCCATGGGCTATCCCTCAGACTCTTTTTAAAAAAAATTTGTAGTTAAATATACATAATGTAAAACTTAACATTTTAACCATTTTTAAGGAATTTCCATTGCTCTGCAGCCATCACTTCTGTTTCCAGAACTCATCATCTCAACCAGAGACTTCCTACTCATCAGACTCCCATTCCCACCCTCCCCTGATAACATCCATTCTGTTTTTCATCACTGAGTTAGTGTACTCCCGGACCACATGTAACCAGATTCTTCTTTGATTTCAAGATTTTTCCACATTATGGCATGTGTTAGAATTTTTCTATTTTTGTAGTTGATAATATTCCATTATGTTAATTGCTTGACAAAGCACTGTACTGTTTCTACAGCAGCTACACTGTTTTATGTTACCACCAGCAGTGCTAATTTCTCTGCATCCTTGTCATCACTTACTTTTCATTTTTGTTTTGTTTTGTTTTGATAGTAGCCATCCTAATAGTATGTAGTGGTATCTTGTGGTTTTCATTTGCAATTCCCTGATGCCTACTGATAACCATATTTGGCTCTATGTATATCTTTATTTTTTTAAAGTTTATAATTTCTTCCATGAGGGAGAGACAGAAGAGACAGACACCTCCAATAGGGTCTTGATGCCATGATCCACTTCCAGCCTTAGACTGCTCTGATCTTGGGCATGTGTGTACCTGGTGTACTAAGAGACACAAACCCAGAACCCGCTCATGTGGATCAGTCTCACAGAGGGTTGTGTTTGATTGTCAGGCTTTGTTTTAGGCTCTACATATGTGTATCTTCTTTGGAAAAATATATATTGAAGTCCTTTGCCCAAGTTTGAATTATTGAATTGTCAGAATAAGTTTTTCTCTAAATTAGGTCCTGAATAAATTGATTGAGAATTATAGTTGGAATGGACTCTTACCCCCACTCCTGCCTTCCAGTTCTCTGCTATTAGACCCAAATATATAAAAATTTTTGCAAGTCTGTCTAATCTGTATTTTTCTGGTAACTTTTTATACACTTCATTGCTTAGAGATGGTACAATACAGTAGAATGGACTATATTTATCTAATCTGAGAAGAAATGAGGTGTCCCTATCTTGTACACTTACGGAGAAGATTTATAAGGTGGGAGCAATTTGCAGAGTCAAAGATGCCTGCAAGCTCTAACCCATTACCCCCAGGTGTCTGCATCAGGATCGTGTGTTTATGTATGGTTGGGAGGATAGCATCTGACCTTCACTGCAGAGGTGTCTGACCTAGTCCCCTCTCCTTATAGCACTGTAACCTCTGCTGTGTTCACTGTGGGAGACAACGTTGTCTCAGGCAGCGATGACCGCACGGTGAAAGTCTGGGATTTAAAAAATATGAGATCTCCAATCGCAACTATTCGCACAGACTCTGCCATTAACAGGTAAGGTAAAGCTATTCATCATGTAGGACATGCAGCCTCACTCTGATTTAGTGCGTTATTCATGTTGATTCAGTATCTAATTGATATTGCCTTGGGAAAAGTGGTTTTGACCCCTGGGAAAATATATTTTATTTATCCTCTAATGCAAACTCAGTATTCCATTAATGCTTATTCAGTATAAAATCAGGTAGGTGTAGTGAGATTTGTAGAAATAGGAATGAACTATTCATGTCCAGATGTTGGGTGGCTATGGTTTGCTCATCTGTGAGGGCTTGATCTCATGTTTGATTGGGTTGGTATCTGGTATTAAGTTGTGTGTGTGTCTGTGTTGTGTGTATGTGTGTGGGGTGTGTGTATGATCTCATATTTACGTATAAGTGACTTAGTCTCTTCTTTCTGCCATGGGCAGATAATACCTCTTTGTTAATGTAGTTTGCCATGAATGTGAGTAATATGTACTGTATTGTGATCTGTAAACTCAAAAACTTATGCTGTCATTGTTGTACACATAACCCACTGTTACCTTGTTTTTGCAGAATCAATGTATGTGTTGGCCAAAAAATCATAGCTCTCCCCCATGACAACCGACAAGTGAGATTGTTTGATATGTCAGGAGTGCGACTAGCACGGCTTCCCCGGAGCAGTCGACAGGTAACAGAGCATTCACACATATTTACAATGTGCATTAGAGAAGAGCTTGGGATTGTACATCTTAAAATCACTGTGTAATAGAAACATAATTCAAGCCACATATCTAAATTTTAAATTTTTTTTTTTTTTGAGAGGTTTTCACTATAGGGCATGTGCACTCGCCAGACAGACAGAGAGAGAGACAGAAAGTGAGAAATCACCCCCCAGGGGGGATGGTCACGCCACAGTCCCTTCTCCTCCTTTCTCCTCTCGGGATCTTGGGCATGCACGCACACACACCCGGCATGAGTTTTAAGCCACCGGGTCCGGGACGCGAACTGCGGTCGACTACGTGGGAGTCCAGTGACATAGCCATTACGCTAACTGCTGGTTCCCTAAGTTTTAATTTTCTAATAGTTACATTAAACAAAAGAAATGAGAGAAATGTTAACAATATTTGTTATCAAAATATGTCCAAAATAGTATAATTTCAACATGAAATTCATATAAAAATACTAGAGATATTTTATAAAGCCCACAGATCCTAAAATTCTATTGGAAGTACTTCATCTGTATTTAAAAATAGTCATATATTCAAGTTTGTTCCACATATCCTTCAGTATTTCCCAATACTTCGAGCATTAGTTTTCACTTTTAAGATAAAATAAAATCTAATACTCCGTTCGTCCATTTTACTAGCCACGTGTGATGAGCTTGTTAGGACATGTGTGAGTGCTAGCATGTGGGAAAGCACAGCCCTAAGACGGTTGTAGTTGAGCTTATACAAACTGGAGACGTGTGAAATGACAAGCAGCTGCTGTGGCCAGGCAGGAGCTGTGTGGCACGGATGGTGGGAGCCATTGAGGACCAGACCCCACTTCCACCTCTAACCATAAAAATACCTTTCTTTGGTAGGCTATTATTGAGAGTACATTTCATTTTAAATTCGACTTTCTCAAAAATTAAGGGATTCCTCCTTGACTTTGTTTAATGTGGTACAGGGAGTTAGATGGTGTTTCTCAGACTGTAGTGTTCCACGCCTACCCCATCACTGTTGCGTGAAATACTCAACAAGAACTCGTACTCCTTGGTACCAGCTCAGGCCAAGAGAACCAGAATCTCCAAAGTATGTGTGGGTGTAGGGGGGCTGCCCAAGAATCTGTGTGTAGATAATTCCCTGGGTAATTCTGATGGTCTTGCAGTCAGGGTTAAAGTCTTGGTGTGGGTGATGTTGGTCATGGGCTCTTTTCTATTCATTGGTTAGGGCCGTAGCGCTCATAATTGCCCCTGCTACTTGAGGCATCCTTTCTCCAGGCTTTTGTGTTTAATTGAGCCTCATAACACAATTACTCTTTCTTTTGTTTTCCTTTTTTTTCCCTAATTCGTGATAGAGTGCATGCTCACACAAGTAAGATTTATGAGGAGTGGAGGGAAAGAAAGAGATGAGCCCCTTCTTCCAGGTCTCATGAGCACTTGAGCATGTGCTTGGCACGTTTTAGGCTTAGCAGCTTTGAGATTCAAACTGGGATCTGGCTTCTCTTGAGAAGCACATTACCTCTTCTTCAAGGAGCTGTTGCTCCTTTATTTTCTTTTGATATTTTTAAGTATATCTTGATATCTGTGTGGTTAGTAAGCCAACTTGCTCTGTCCTTCTTGAAAGATCCTTCCCTGGTTCCTCTAGTTGGCGTGCAGGCATCTGTGCACACACTCCTCAAAGCATGGCTGGCATGCTATACAACATTCTTTCTCTGTGCTGCGTCCAGCTGCTGCTCTGTTGATTCCTTATTGTTGACACCAGTTTCATTTCACAGCGTGAAGCCTCAAGTACAGTTTGTGAGCCACAGCCAGCTCAGTGCTTCATGTGTACTTCAGAACAGACCAAGGACAGTTAAGGACATAGATTGCAAGGTGGGGAATGGCTGCCAGTGTAGCAGCACCTTTTCTTTAAGTGGCACAACTTGCCAAAAATTATCTGGCCTCAAGAAAAGGGTGTTTGAACTATTTCAGCCACTTTTAGTGCTTACAAGTGTATCGTACAGAGTTATTTATTGATTTTTTTATTCCTCGAGTACATGTCGTATAAAAATGATGAAATTTGGAGTAACTAAAAAAAAAGAAAAAAAAGCTTCACAGCTCCTAGCAAAGCCATCAGTTGCTCGTCCAGATGAATTTTTTATGTTTTGATAACTGCTGAGTATCATTGATGTACAGATAGGGTATCCATAATGTGAAATGTGTGGTGGAATTAGAAATGTTTAAGATTTCAGGTTCTCTCAGTTTTGGGATATTTTCATTTATGAAATGGGATGTCTTGGTTATGGGATCCATGTCTGAGCATGGAATTCATTTATGTTTCATACACACCTTGTGCCTATAGCCTAAACGTACTTTATTTATTTATTTATTTTTTTGGAGAGATTTTTGCTATAGGGCACGTGCACTTGCCAGACAGACAGAGAGAGACAGAGAGACAGAAAGCGAGAAATCACCCACCAGGGGGGATGGTCATGTCGCAATCCCTTCTCCTCTATTCTCCTCTTGGGATCTTGGGCACACACGCACACGCACCTGGCGTGAGTTTTAAGCCACCGGGTCTGGGGCGCGAACCGCGGTCGACTACATGGGAGTCCAGCGACATAGCCATTATGCTAACTGCTGGTTCTCGAGCCTAAACATACTTTTTATAAAATGTTTTGGTATTGCAGGGTTTTGACTGTTACCTGTCAGATGAGGTCAGATGTAGAAATTTTCATCTGTTGTCTCATGTCAGTATTCAAAACATTGTGGATTTGGGAGCATTTACTACTTTAGACTTTCATTTAGGATTGCTCAGATTGTATCTTTGGTGCTACATCTTAAACACGATAAACATTCTTTTTTAAGTGTGCTTGCTGCATCATACAAAATTGCCATACAAATATAGTTTGCATTTTGAAACATAAACTTATTAGAATGCACATTTTCCCTCAAAAAAATAAGGAGTTCCGAATGGATCATTTTAGTTTTTGCCATAGGGTGTATGTACCTGCCAAAGAGAGAGGGAGGAAAAGTGGGAATCACCTCCTGGGGGGATGTCCATGCCACAGTCCCCTTTCCTCCATTCTCCTCCTAGGACCCTGGACATGGACGCTGCTGGATCTGGGACTTGAACTGTCTAGTCAGCCATGTAGATCCAATCATCCTAACCTCCACACCACCTCTTAGCCCCAACTGTTTATTTTTAATTATCTGAAAACATTCAGTCTTGTTGGAAGTGTAGAATCCTGTTGTGTTTGCATTAATTCCCTCCCAAAGTAGTATGTGAAGTAGATTTATTTATTTATTTGTTTGTTTGTTTGTTTGTTTGTTTTAACTTAGAACACTTCAGATGAATGGTTTTCAGGGACACCGAAGCTTAGCTAGAAATCATGGGCTTATATGGTTCTAACTTCTTTCAGCTGATCTGTTTTAAAAAGAAGGAAAACAAAATACTTAAACATTTAAATAGGTAGTGTAAAAGGGACCAATAATTTTATTTAACAATTTTTTTTGTTTATTTATCTTTTAGAGATTTTTGCCTTAGGGTGCATGTACTTACTGGGGAGAGAGACAGAGACAGAGATAGTGAGAGAGGAAAAGCGAGAAATTATCCCCTGGGAGTGACCATGCTGCAGTTAGGTCTCCTCCATTTTCCTCTAGGGATCTTAGACATGCACACACATGCCACCTGGTATGACTTTTCAAGCCACCAGGTCTGGGACTTGAACTGTGGTTGGCCATGTGGGAGTCCAGCGACATAACCACTATGCCATCTGCTGGTCCCCACAGCCAATAATTTTAATTGTTTATATTTTGGGGATAGTATAAGTGAGAATGCCAATTCTGTGGGACATTAGGAGGAATCCCAGGGGCAAGGATCATGAAGTGCAGTCATTTGTGAAGTGCTGGTTTCTCAGAAAGAGCGTGGGACCCCTCACTTTGGGAGTCCTCATGCTCTTTACTGGCTGATGCACATAGTGACTTTTCACCCTCCTAGGGAGTATCGTTGATGGAGTTTGTTGTGGATTATTTTTGAGTGTGGAATCATGCTGTGAGCACAGGAGACATGGAAATCCTAGTGGGAATTCCATCTCAGGTGAAGTCATGGACTCGTCTGGCCAGGAGATATAGCTACCAGGTTTCTCACTGGGCAGTAAAGCCAGGCTTCTGTAGGCACCTTGTGGCCTTTTCCCTCTACCCAGTAGTTAAGCACCTAATTTCAGTACCCAATGAACGCCATGAGTTATTTTAAATAGTTCTTGAACAAAGGCTTGATTTTACTGCCAATTTATAGATTCATTGCTTATTTTATTTTATTTTATTTTTTATCATTAACATAGAAGTAATAGGAGATACCTTTTGTAACTGTTCGTTATGTATTTCTTCTTTCTCGTAATTTTATTCTGTGGCCTAAGACTTATATATGGAATACTTTGCAGAGGGAAGTTTGGTGCTATTCTTTGAGTGTTTTTTTCTTTTTAACTTTGTCAGTTTTATCAAATTCTTGTATTTTATTGTATGACATAACAACTATAGTATTTAGAACAGTTGTATTAATTTAGAAAATGTGGATGAGTCTGAAGGCCTTGCTTACACACATTCTAAGAATTAGTGATTATCTTAAATGCTTGTATCTATGTACATACAACCAATTATTTGTTAAAATGTATTTGAGGTCTTTGAGTGACTTTTATTTAATTTATCTCCAAATATCTTCTAGCCTGTTTATTCATTTAAAAATTTCAAATTGATCATTTTTTCCTGTCTGACTTTAAGCTTATTGATAGTCTAGAAGAATCAAAGTGTTTTGGGTGTGAGTCCCACTAAACCCATTCATTCAGCACGTGTTCCGACCTTACTCATCTCATTGTGACTTGACCAGCACATCCCTGAATGCCTGTTGCCATGTGTAGGAATTTTGGCTCGCTTGGAAGAATCCTGTGTGTGAATTATTTTTCTTTTTCCTTTTGTCACTTTGAGTGGTATAGTTGTTCATTTGACTGAAGCTTTATAATCTTGGGTTTAAGGAATAATGCTCTAATTTTGGCTTATTTGGTTGTTACTAGGGCCATAGAAGAATGGTATGCTGCTCAGCATGGAGCGAAGACCACCCCATCTGCAATCTGTTCACCTGTGGGTTCGATAGGCAAGCCATTGGTTGGAACATCAACATCCCTGCATTGTTGCAAGAAAAATAAGGTCGCTGGCGTTCCTTAGTTTTGTCATTTGCCATGGACTTGACTGATGCAGACCTTTCTGCATATTAATCAGCCATTTTTGTGAGTTTGACCCTAGGAAGGGTACTTTGTATAAGTTCTTTCACATTGTGCCCAGCTTGCATGAAATGTACAGAAAAATGTGTGATCATACTTTTTATTTTTGTCTTGTGTGTGTATATTGGCATCCTCCGGTCAGTAGAAGTGAAGCTCACCTCCATGTAGCACATACGATGCTCATGCATTGTTGACCTTTGGCAGATAAACAGTGGGGCATTACATTTGTGTGAATTAAATGTGAACCTGTGTATTATTGTGAGTCATAAGCGGTCTGTGTATTTCTGGAATAATTATACATATCTACCTTGTACTGGGAAGATGGCAGAGCTACATTTGTGTTGGCTAATCAGTGGCAGGAATGATTAAAGATCCCATGTTTACTTCTGTATGAAGATTTAACACATGTTATTGTGAAATTCATTTTCAACTCTAATTTCTGTTACAGTTCTGTAAAAATATCCTGGATTTTAGAAGTTAAAAAACAGTAGCATAGAATGTTGAGTTTTACAACATTTAGATAGTTTCTTTTGAAAAGAAAAAGTTTCTGCTCTTTTTATAGAAAATCATTTCAGTCTCCTGAGGTCTCATACTAGCCAATTCTAAATTTTAATGATTCTAATCACTGATTTCAGATATTAAACAAAATTGAAAGCACTTTAGTTTATAGCTGTGGTTATAAACAATTTTTAGAAGTTTCAAATGACTTATCCATTGAATGTGACTGGACCTTTATAAGAAGGCCCTGCTACCTGAAAATGAAATCTTATTTATTGTCAAATCTTTGGTTTGCATATTTCTAAATGAGTTCACTTCCTTGGTGGTATTTGAGAGCCAACAATGCAAATAAATGAGTACTACCTCAAAAATAAATATTTGGAAAACTTTGGAGTTTCACTGTTGCCTAGCTAAAGCACTTTTGATTTATAGCTGGAATACTGAATTCACTTCAGAAGGCAGGAAAGACAATCTTACCAAAAGTATGCTGAAGGTAGAAGGTTTTTCCATTAGGCTAGTAAGGTGATTACCATAACAAATAGTCTGGCAGTTACAAGATGCTTTTGTCTTGAGTAACAGGGATACCTCTCAGTGCCAATCCCACCACTGCACAGGAAAGCCTGTTATTCTTGCCTTCATAGAAGTTACTGTTTATCTGATATTTGTAAGTTAGTGTTTCTTATTGAGTTACAGTTTTGATAAAGAGACATCTCAGTTACAGCCCCTCATACATTTAATTATGACCGTCTGGAGGCTGATCACTTGGAGAGACACAGGAAGGTAATATTTAAAACTATACCGTGACCCCCCCCCCACCCCAGTTTCCTGTGTTTTCCCCTTTATGTGGTGCTGTGTGGGAGGGCGCCTCCCCCGGTAACTGGTAGAGAGCCATTTGGTAAGGTGTAGGGTATCATCAGAGTGAGTCTGAAGTGACTGACAGCCTGGAAGGCACAGAGGGACCCAGCCTGACCATAGTAGAGTCGAGGTTGCTAGCTGAAGGACAGCCCGCAGATGTTTTATAGTAATTTTATTTTTAAAACTCAAAATTTGTCCTGTTTTTAAAGTTCGACATGTTCACCCGAGTGTACTATTGATGAGACTTGAAGCCAGGCTAGTCACTATTGATTAGAACTTCAAGTTTCAGCCGCTGTGTCTTGAGTGTGTGTGGCTGATGGAGCACTACGCTGTGACCGGGATACCTGCCCTGGCCTAGTTTTCCTTACAGTGAGAAATCTTTCTTTCTTTCTTTTTTTTTTTTTAAAGATTTTTTTTTTTTGCTCTAGGGCTTGTGTGCTTGCTGGAGAGATAGACAGAAAGCCAGAAAACACCCCTAGGGGGATTCCATGCCACAATCCCTTCTCTTTATTCCCCTCTCGGGATTTTGGGCATGCACGCACACATGCACAGTGTGAGTTTCAAGCTGTGGTCAGCTATGTGCGTCTAGCAACATAACCATTACACCATCTACGGGTCCCTCCAGTGAGGTCCCTTTAGCTCATTGCACTTTCAGCCATGTTCTCATTTCTTTGTATCTTAATTTGAAATTGTTAGTAACACTGATAGATGTGTACAAATAGCCAAATCATTTCTGCCAGATGAAAAAAATTTGAAACCTTTAAAACTCTGTGTCCATGATGGCAGACCAATGAACTTCACTGCAGTAGCTACTCACCTTCCTGGTCACTGGAGGGACCAGTCTCCAGCGCCAAAACTGAGTGTCCTCATATATTTGTGTGGGCAGGAGACTCTCAGTGGTTTGGTCAAAGCTCCCAGGAGCAGGCACAACTCACTGTTAACTCCTGTGTCGTCATTTCTGTGGTTCCTCCCACCGAGGCTACCGCCATTGTGGTAGTACTTTCATGAGTCACAGGATTGGGGTAGTGTGTGGCTAAAATTAAGTCACATCAGCCACATATGATCTCTTTTTATTTGGAAGTAGGAATGGTTTTGTCCTATATGCTGATATGTCCAGAATTTCATTTAATAAAGGAAGGAAAATGTATGGTTACTGAAAAATGTACATTGTAGAATTTCATAGAAAATGTGTTGTTGGACAAAGCAACACTCTGAACCACTGCACATCCGTTTCTGTAGAGTCAAAACTTCTGTACATATTTTGGAATCTGAAGAATTCTATGTAAATCATTTGTTACTTAAATCTGTGAAGAACAAGTTTCTTTGGAGAAAAACATATGCATTTATAAATGTTATGTGGAATTGTTTTTATTGTATTGATGTAATTGTTTTTAAGTGTTTGGTGTCTTCATTGCAATATGAAATTCATTAAAACATCTATGTTCATAATTGCTATTATAAAGTTTTGTTATTGGGAGTCTCTTATTTATTTTTTCTTAATTTCTTTTGTGTCCAAAAAAAAAAATTGGCTTGGAACCAGCAGGTGGCATAATGGTTATGTCATTAGACTCCTACAAGGCTAACTGTAGTTCCAAGTCCCAGACCTGACGGCTTGAAACTCAAACCAGGCACATGTGCATGCATGCCCAAAATCCCAAGAGGAGAATGGAGAAGGGATTGCGGGCATGGCTACTCCTCTCCGCCCCCCCGGGATGATTTCTCACTTTCTGTCTGGCGAGTGCACACGCCCAATAGCAAAACTTTCTCTTAAAAAAAATTGGCTAAATAATCACAGTGACCTAGAGATTGCCCATTTGAAAATTTCAATTTTAGATAAAAAAAAAAAAAATCAGTCATATTTTCTGTCCATCTCTTATGCTGACATTTAATGGTATATAATCATGCTTCTTCATCTCTCATAACCTCTCCAAACATTTCTGAGAGGATTAACTATTTGACATAATACATACTTTTGGTCTAGTCCTCGAGAGTATTATAAAATAATTTGTTCTTATTACAGTAAGCTTGTATGAAAGTTAAAACAAAGTTACAGGAAGCAGGCACCGTTTTCTGTGGAGAATGCAAGCTGACGTTGGCAGTGACTGCTGATGTATGAGTATAGTCCAACCAAAGTGAGTGAAGCACCATGATGGTTGTAGAAGACTCAGGACTGCTGGTGTTGCTTTGCTTGTGGCTCCTTGTTGAGACTAGTAAGCCTCACCTACTTACACAGGCATTGGGACTACATTCAGACTTAAGAAGTAGAACTTCCTGGGGCCAGCAGGTAGTGTGGAAGGAGCTGGACTCCCACATGGCCAGTAGTTCTAGGCCCTGGCCTAGTGGCTTGAAAATCATGCTGGACAAAGGGATTGCGACATGACCATCCCCCCTAGGGGAGATGATTTCTCACTTTCCCTCTCTTTTTCTGTCTCTCTCTGGCTAACACATGTACCCTAGTACCCTGGGGGTGGGATTTCCTTACTGATCACTTAATTTTTTTATTCCTCAAGTCCCATGTGATTGTTATCTAAATTTCATGTTAATTTAAAAGTTCATGTTATATTAGTATAAGGAATCAAGAAAGAAAGATTTGGATTGCTGTGACTTCATAACAATGCAAAGCCTTCTCTCTCTGTCTCTTTTTCTTCAGAGAGATTTTTGCTGTAGGGTGCCTGTGCTCACCAGAGACAAAAGAGCCAGAAAATGAGAAATCATCCTCCAGGGGGTGGCCACAGCACAATCTGTTCACCATTCTCTCAGGATTTGGGGCACGCACGCACACAAGCCCGGCATGAGTTTTAAGCTGCTAGGTCCTGGGACCTGACTACATGGAAGTCCAGCAACGTAACCATTATGTCATCTACTGGTCCCAAGACCTCTCTTACTATCCATAGATTTTTCTGCTCATTTTTCCCTAATAACTTAAAAATTATTCCAGATTCTGGGAATAGCTCAATTATTATATACAACTTCTATATTAGCTCATCAGGAAAGTCATGACACATTTTTGTATAGGAAAACAGAAAAATACATGACTTTTCCAACAGCCCAATATTATCTACAGTGGGATCAAGCTAAAAATGAAGTTTTATGTAATTTAAATTTTATTCAAAATCTAATTTTATTAAAATATCTTGTTAAGTGGCATTTGGTCCAAATGAAAGTAGATTAAAAAGATTTTTGGAGTTGTGAAAGCTCCGTGTGAAAGGCAAATGGGGACCCAATTAATGCTTTACAGGCTGAGATGGAATAAGTGCCTTAGCTATTGTGTTGCTAAGAGATTACCTGAAACTGGGTAGATTTTATATATATACATATATGTATACATATAAAATGTTTATTTGACTCAGTTTGGAAGCCTAGAAAGTCTAAAGGTATAAGGCTGACTATATCCCATTATGGGAAATAGAAACAGAGGGTGGGTGGAGGATGTGCAGAGAAAGATGGAGCAGCCATATTTTATAACAACCTATTCTTGAAAACGAACTCCTTTTCATGAGAGCTAGAGTTTACTGGGTCTCGCAAGAACATTCATTCATTTAAGTGACATCTTCATGATCCAGTCACCACCCACTAGACCTCAGCTCTTTTTTTTTTTTTTTTTTTTTAAGAGAGATTTTTGGTACAGGGCACGTATGCTCCCCAGAGAGTTAGAGAAAGAGAGGCAGACAGTGAGAAATCATCCCCCGGGGGAATGACCATTCCACAATCCCTTCTCCATTTTCCTCGAGGGATTTTGGACACACACATGCGTCCGGCTTGATTTTAAGACTGGATTTGGGATTCAAAGTGTGGTTGACTTTATGGATGTCCAGCAACATAACTATTAGGCCATCTGCTGGTCCCTAGGACTCAGCTCATAAAGTCTCACCTCCCAGTGTCATTACACTGGGGACCAAATTGCAACATCAGCCCTCTGGGGACAAGCCATTATCAAAACCATAACAGTGAAGGAGCTACTTTAGATAATTTGGTCGAGGAGGCTTCTCTGAGTAGACACCACAGAAACTGAAGTCTAAAGGTTAATGCAGGTGTCCAGGAAATTGCAGGAACAATTATAGGCTAGGGGAATGCCATAGGCAGAAGCTGTGGGGAAGAGCTTGGCATGTTTCAGGTACTGAAATGACAGTGCAGCTGGCTTGCGATGTGCAGGGTGGATGATCCAGGCTGCCATTATGACAGCAGCACCATCTTACTCAGAGCCTGTGAGGAGGAGTAGATTTTATTCTGTGTGCACTGGTGACATGGAGATAAGTTGGAGAAGCTGGCTGCCAGGTTATGTTGGTGGCAGTAGGATGGAGAAAGAGAATAAGACATTTATTTTGGATAACTATTTACAGTTCTTGCAGGAAAGAAGAGTTATTCTACAGTCAAAATACACTTAACGAAAAATGACTATGCAGACATTTCTTGGTGTACTTGAAAGGACATTTCAAGCATTGACAGCCTAAGATAATGATAAATACTTTTTTCTAAAAAATAAAAGGGGAGGGGCTAGATGGTGGCACGTGGTAAAATACCACACTTTGCAAGGCCGATGCATACGGGAGGAGTCCAGATTTGCGTCCAGAGACTTCCCTCAGTATGCCTGGCATGTGCGTGTCCATGATCCTGGACTGGCTGAGCTGGGGATGGATTGCAGCATGGAGACTGTAGGGAGTACTCTCTTCCCCACCTCCACCTCTTGCTCATGGAAGAAATTAATATAATTTATTAACAATGTGTTAGGAAATTTCAGGTGCAATTTAGAGATGTAGATTACTTCCTTTATCTAAATGTATCCATTTCCTGTACATAAAGGTATTTTTGCTAACACCACTTGACAGTACCAGGAATCCTCAAACTCTGGGCCCTAGGTCCACAAGTTGTCACATGGGTATTATGGGACCAGGCCCCTTCTATCACATGACTCTTAGGCATAGATGGGGTGGAGGTGGGTGAGTCTGTATAACCTAAACTGGCCAATCAGAATCTTCTCTTAGAAAATTTAGAACTAGAACCCAGACTCTTCAATAGCTTAGAAGTTCCAAAGCCCAGGAATTATCGGTGACCAACCACATTTTTCAGTCTGAGTGAAAATAACAAGAAGTACTTAAAAGTGTTAAAAAATTATTAGGATTGTATGCCCAGAATTACTACCTTTCAGAGTGAGTGTGAAACAAAGTTACTT